GTTTCTCGGGATCTCGCGATAATAAGTCGGGATTTCTTTCCTTTTTTTTTTCCTCCATGTCCCCTTAGGGGCTCCGTAGTTATCTGATGTCACAATATTTATTTTTTTTACCTGCAAGAGTGGAAGGAGGGACCCGGTCAGTTAGCGTGCTTTTTTCTCTGTTGGCCATATTGGATTTAACAAAAATAATTTTTTTGTATTTGCGACTGATGCCCAGTAGTTGATGGTGTATTTTATGATGCATTAGTGTCCACCTCAGTGGTCTGTGTGCATTTATAACATACAAATCCACAAGGAGGACAAGGAAATGGCTTTTAGATAGCTGTCCACTGTAGTGACCACTATGCATGAAAGGGTTAAGGTAAGATAGCTTCAAAAACTTTACAAATGTCCTTACGATCCTTTGCAGACCATTGAGTTCTTTCTCTAAGGCCAACTTGATGCCGTTTCATTTTACACTCCTTGCTTGATGAGGTGATCATCTTCTCTGTTTAGCCTTATAGAACCTTGTAGAAGAAAGACTTATTTACTAGTAAACATTAAAAAACTATGTGTAATATGTGTGATCTAACTGAGGGAAAAAATGCGGACACCCTACTCTCCTTTTAAGTAGTGATACATCCCTGTGGCTGAAACAAATTCAGTGAGATGCTTCTTGTGGCGATCCACCAGAGTCCGAGAACAGCTTGCCCCACTGCTCACTTTTAGCTGAGAGATGTTAAAGGGTTTTCTTACATCTCCAACGTCTTTCAAGTCACCTCTCAGCATGTTCAAAGTATAAACATCTGGGCTTGGACTCTGCCTTGGACTTTTCATTCCAAGACCAACCTGATCAGATTTGATCTGTTTTGGGTTTGCTCAACTTTGTTGTTGTTGTTGTTGCTAGTCTTTGTTTGTGTGTGCAGAATAGACGCAGCAGGAAGCCAGGAAATGTTAAACAAGATCATCACACCACAGAAGCAAGGAACTCCACCATTAATCGGCCATCAGGAGACAATCATTTACGTTACAACACCCAGGGACACAACTGTAGATGCAAGGCTTCTTCTCTAATGCAATAACTGCTATTTCTAATTGTTGTTTTTTTTTGTTTTTTTGCACAATAAATTTTGAATATTCCCAGAGGATTTGACAGAACAACAGTAATAACTTGGAGTGAAGAGACAGATTTTGATGAATCTGAGTCACAACAGGACGTAGCGCCAAATAAAGCCTTCGCTGTGCCCACAAGCTGTTTGCATTAGAGCTGCGAATCTGACATCTCCAGTTGCCAACTTACTGTACAAGGGCACACAGAGCCATATATGGTGTGAAATGAACAATCTTCCTCTGTTTGTTTGTTTTGTTTTGTTTTGTTTTGCCAAGCGGGTGAGGAAAAACAAAAAAAAAAAAAGAAAGAAATCAGATGTGGCAGCGTTGTCACTATCGAGAAAAAAACCCACATCACTATGACAACTGAAAGCAACAACAACACCAACACACATGAACACAGAGCGCAAACAAGAATGGTTTTAATATCCAATTTTTTTTTTTTTTCGTCCTTTCCTTTTATTGTTTCATCGTAACAATACAGAATGGATGTCTCAGTGCTGCGGTTCTCTTGAGCTCAGAGCAAACATGGCATATCCACCGTCAACGGGGTTGAAAAATAGATCTGATGTGTGGGTAAGAGAAACAAAGCCTCTTTGAGGAAATACACAAGCTGAGCCAAGAAAGTTAGAAAATGTATCAAGTTTGAAAAAAAAACATGCTTTTTCTTTACTTTTAAACTTCTCTTAAATAATCTTAAATAATTTAAACTGGGTAGCAATGTGTTGCTGAGCACTTTTAAATAGAATCGTACACAATAACCACAATTTGACTTTGTGTTTTAGTGCAAAGAGTTACCAAATTTTTTGTGTAAGGAATGAGTTGAGCCTTTTTTTTTTTTTTTTTTTACATGTCCTCCTCAACCAGTCCTACATGCATGAGCCACCCGCAGGGTTCCCACGGTCTGTCCACAGGCTTTGCTTCTTCCTTTCTCTGAGATTAAGAAAGGCGTTAACACTGGATTTTGCTCCCTTTCCGAAGGGTGAAGGGAGTGGGGGAGTTGTTAGTCTGTAAAGAGTCACCACTGTCACCACATGGACAAACACACACAATGAACAGCACACAGACTGCAGGTGGAGGAAGCAAGAGACGGAAATCAAGAGGAGAGGGGACGGAGGATGGATGAACACAGGGCCTAGCGCTGAGAGCGGCGATGATGATGTACCCGTTTTCCCTCCGACACGGCTGCAGCGGAGTTAGCAGGGGGCCGGTTGGCGGGTTCTTCCTGGGGGTAGTGGGACGGGGTGTCGGTCAGATAGACCTCCACGTCATCAGGCACTTCTTCCAAGAAGTTTGAGGGCACCAAGCCACGATGGCCATTGAGCTCACCCTGGGGGGGGAAGACGGTGAGAACAGAAAGCGAGAGAAACAAAAGAGAGAAGTTAGAAAAGCCTCTGAAAAATATTTAAAAGGCTGTTGATCATTTAGCAAATCTCTTTTATAAGAGTGTAAAGTCTATCAAAAACTTAATTATAGCAATTTTCCTAAACGTTTCAATAGAAATTAGACTTTAGATTTTTTTTTTATGCAATTTTTGCTAACTGATCAACCTAAGAGTCGTACAACTATATTGTATTTTCTTGATCAGGTGCTATCTCCTTATTTTCAAAGCTCCTAGAGAAAAAATGTTTTGATAATTATATGTTTATTACTTAAACTTTAAACTTTAGTCTTGGTTTATGTTAGACCTTCCCAAGCGAATACTTCTATCACAAACATGTCAAGCAATCTAGTTTAAGATTTCAAACAATATTGATTGATGAAAATCCTCTGATAATTTGTACAAGATGGGATCTACCTGGAGAAGCTGCAATTATTCAGCTGTAATGAATTATGTAATTTAGCTCAGACGATAAAGCCTCGAAGCGTAAAAAAAAATATGCTTACATATTAAAAAAGTTGTTTTTTTTAAATATTTCCATTCCAAGACTCTGGAAATGAGTCCATAAAGTGGTGATGATGACACGTAGGTTACCGAGCCCATCCATTTTTGACCACACAGCCATTTTCTAACGGCTAATTCCAGTAAACTAACGCACCAAGTCCCAAAGATCAATCATATCAATTGATCACTAAGTAGCTTCAGCATGGATAAGTGGCACTCACATAGTAAAACCCATCTTCATCAATGTCTCCAAAAACAGCAATGATGTCACCAGCACAGAAGGTCAGCTCAGCCTATCAGGAGACAGATATAAAACAGGAAATTCTGCATTATGTGCAAAAACAATAAGCCGACTTAAATTGTGGGCCTCAACTTTATTGACATATTCCACATTTAGCTTTACCTCAACGTCAACGTTAGGGGAGCTCTCTCTGGGGTCGTAGTCGTAGAGCGCCACCATCCTCCTGGAGGCCTGATCTCGGCGGACACCTCGTCTGTTCTGCTCTGCAGGCGACAACATGGAACAGCTCAGAATAACAATAATGTCATCCCGCAGATTGCATTAAACCTTTTAACTCTTCCCTACGGAGGCACAAAAGAACACATTCTTATATAATACATATATTGATAAATATGATAATGTAAGAATTAAGAGGTAAAAGACAAAAAAATATTAAATAATAGAAATAAACAAAGATCTAAATAACCATAAGTCTGAAATGAATGAATGCATGTGGAAAAATAAATAAACAAATAAAAAAAATTACAAAAACAATAATTTAACACTAAAATAAGAAAATAAACGGAAAGAAATTTACAACAAAAAGTTTGCAAACCGCTTGTGTTCACTTTTTAAAAATATTTTATAACAGTTCTTATAAAATAACATGTACTCTATTTTGTTGTTGCTGAAATACTACAGTTTCTGCAATGTTTTTGTTTCTAACATTTGCTCAATACCAAAAAATGTCCTTTCAACTTTTCAAAGTGCACATTTTCTCTGTACTCATAGTAAGCGTGCTTCTGCAGTACCTATTTTGTCCACTGGGGTGCTGAGAGGCAGAAAGCCCTGCTTGATGAGCTGGTCCATGGTCTCCTCATCGTCCGCTCGTATCTCGGACACCATGTTACAGGGGAGAAGCCCCATCCTGCCCCTTATTGCTCCTCTGTAAAACCCATCTGTGTCCTTATCACCATAAACCTGACAGATACAGGAGGGAAACAGGAATGTTCAAAGCCTCACTGAACAGTTTGTGTGTATTCGGGGCACATTGAGTAATTTGTGACAGAGTACAACAGTCAGCTATTAGAACTTCACTTTAAATGCTATTATAATGACAGTTGGAAAGCAGGGTGCTAAATGCAATCTAGCAGTGAACATCCCCACCTTAATTATCTGCCCTTCTTTGAATGGTAGCTCCTCATCTGCAGCATCTGGGTTGGGGGACATAGACAGAGGATCGTAGTCAAAGAGCGCCACAAATATCCGAAAAGGTTCCTCAGGCTCTGACTCGTCATAGTACGTTGGAGAGCGTTGGTCCCGATTCCTGTAGCCGTCTTAAACACAAACAAAAAAAAAAAAGGCAAAAGTCAAAAAAAATAAAAATAAAAATCTTTACACAGCCAAACTAAAATAAAATAAAAGTGACCAGAACATAGATACAGACATGAAGTGTTTGTGAGACTTGGCCACAAATGGAGCAGATTTCTGAGCAACAGGTTACATGTAATAATTGATTTGCTATCTGTATTTAATTTGTTAAGATGAGCATGTTTATGGTATATCTAAGCCATGGCCCAGTACACAGAAACTGATGAGTAAATTCCACATCTTTATCATTCTTAATCATTAGATTGTGCACTGCATGACAGATTTATTCTCTCTTATCTTGCCATATTTGTGCCTGTAAACATGCAGGAAATAGCTATGACTAGCTATTTATTAAAATTCTCATGGCACAAACACACACATGCGTTCACAAAAACAATCAACACATGAAAACTGCGTGTGGTTTTGAGTAGGTGTGTCAGCTTTCAGTGTGCTAGGAATCGAGTGTGCAGTAAAACAGATGAAACATGTTATGTGATTTGTGGAAATGAGACGGCAAGGCACAAGACTTTGACATGCATTTTTAAATGAATCAACATAAATAGGTAGCAAAGCAATTATGTGAAATGTGCTGATGGATGCTAACTTAAATAGCGTAGAAGCTGGAAGTACAACTTGGTTTTATAAAAGTAATGAGCTAATAACAGCATTAGTAATGTGGAAAGGAAGACTGTATTTAAACTGGTAGATTTTGTATTTTATTTATCAAAGAAGTCTTTTTTCTGTATCATTGACCAGAATATTATTCTCAATTTGATGTGGTGTATTTGAGTAGTGTGCTTTTTCTTTTTAATTCATTCCATTTGCCTCTTTTGAAATCAATATTCAGGAAAATGTATTTTTCATTTCTCTATTTTCTTTATATTTTAAACTGAATATGACATGGTGTCTATTGTTGCTTAAGCTTAAATATCTGCAAGATACAAAGGACTTGTTCATGTGGACTTTTTTCTTTTTTTCTTTTATTTTATTTTGTTTGGAGATCATACCATTGACACCCTTGGCTCTTTTGCTTTCCCATTCTTCCACCAAAGTTTTGATTAGAGAGGCAGTTGCAGTTGCCATGCATTATAGCAAAGCTATAATCCTCTATGAAAAATAAAAAAAAATAAATAAAAAAACTAGAACTTCAATCAAAATATAAATCTACAATTCTCCACAATTTGATTTTGAACATCCATCTATTTACCACTTGCTAACTTTCTAATATAGAATGATGAAGTGTGTCTAGGAAAACGATATGTCATCATCACAAAGGCAGCAGATTTGCAATGGCTACCTGTCCATATTCATACTGATTTTTAAGATCTGTTTACATAGGATACTTTCTCATTTTTGAATGCTTTTCGACTAGAACTGAATGATTTACACAGAAAAAAATCATAGTATTTTCAAAACATTGTCATTAACTAAACATAAGATTCCTTTAAGCATTGTGCTACATTACAAATTACAAACTAAGAAACAACAACAACAACAAAAATCTCTCTACTAGCACTATGTTAATGTACAAAATGTATTTGCAGTTCTGTTTAAGAGCTGTTTAAGAATGCAAATATGATCTGGTGCCAGCATTAAATATTCAAAACTAAGTTCACAGGTTGCTTCTCCTCTCTATCTTGTAAAAAAAAAAAACACAAAATGGTTTCCCCACACATTGCCTGACTTATTTGTCTGACTTTATCAATATAGTCAGTTTATTGCCAGCCACTAAGGAGAACCAAGCCTTTAAAACTTACTTTTTTTTTTTTTTTTTTCAATGGCTTTCAACATGAGTTCAGTTGAAATTCCTTCACATCTTTTTGGTTGATATTTTCTTGACTTAATGGTGACAGATTTTTGTACTAAAAAAAAAAATAAATAAAACTGATAGTTCAAGTTATTTTTCAATTTTATTATCAATAGGAGTTCAAATAAATAAACATGAATGATTGGTCCAAATTGCAAGTGTACAGGATGTGATTGTATCAGAAAAGGGAAGGGTGTGCATGACATTCCCTAAACAATCAATCAATCAATCATTTATCATTGCAGTTGTGGAAACTCCTATTGCAGACCTTTGGTCCTGCTGGTGTGTCCACCACTCCATTCCATTGCAGTGCAGTCATGCGGTTCTAATGTAAAGCATTATTGTAACCATTATCCCTTAAGACAAACAAACAGGCAGTTGCAAGTGTCCACAGCTACGTCTCTATATTTGCAGAGTGCCGGTGGCCATCTTTGCTGCCATGCTTTGGAGGTAGAAACAGCTCTGCAGGCACATACCATGGGGACACCTGATGCCGCCCGTGTGCCTGCGGGATGACCACGCCTTGTGTCGAGCTACTCTGCCATAGTTAACATCTTCGTTGATGGGGGAGGGGTTTCCCTCATTGTTATTCTCAGAGGTTACTTCTATGAGAAATACCAGTTGAAGATGATGTGGTTATAAAGCAATTACAAACTTTTTCTCCTTCTAAAATGTTAGCAATAGCTCTGCCGCTAAAAGTTGGAAGAAATACAAATTAGCAAGTACAGCCTTGTGCAGAAGCCTTGTCACATTTCACCTTACGTAAACTTTAGTGTATTTACTGGAATAGACCAACACAAAGCAGAGCAGAGTAAGGGAAGAAAATATGGTTTTAATTATTTATTTTAATGTTATTTAGGGATACCAGATTAAATCTCAGCCCAATTTAATCTGGTATCCCTAAATAAGGTAGAGGTGTACTTGTGTTTAATCTAATTTCATTATAAAGGCAGCATTTCTGTTCTGTTGCAGAGCAAACAGCATTATGAAGATACAGATCAGAGATAAAGATATGAAAAAGTTTAAAGCAGGGTTAGGCTATAAAAAACAAGGAGAGCATTAACCACAGAAGAAAATCTGGAGGAACTGCTGAGATTTACAGCTCAGGTGGAACAATCAATTTCACTGGACAGTTATTAGTTGTGCACTCCACAATTTGGTACTTGGTGGAAAGGATTAAAAGGAAAAAGCGATTTCTCCAGAAAGCGATAAGAAGTGCTGTTCTTATACTGTGACGAAAAACACGGAGGGTGTACAGCAAACATGTGGAAGGTGCTCTCGTCAGATAAGACTAAAACCGAACAAAACATGTGGTCGGAAATCAACATAGTGCTGAACACACTTGGTTCATGAGTTGAGATTATTTACAATACAATATTGGGATCAATAAAACAAGACAGGGTGAAATTTTAATAATATTCTCTGTGAAAACTAGAAAGCCATTGGTTTATTACAACTAGAGTCCAGTGGACTTTTGTCCTGCAGCTTTTCGGTGTGTCCCTGCACCTGCATACCTCCATCACGTAACTAGTGGAGGTACTGTTCACCTGCTGTAATTCAGTTATGGCATGTTGGTCTTGGGACACATCCAAAGGTTGCAGCAAACTGGCCCCCAAGGACTAGAGGAGCCACAGAAATATGAACTATTTAAAAAGATCTGCATTTAGTATTGAAGAGTTCTGCTCAGGTTTGTCTGGTCTAGAAATTACTGTTTTCATACTTATCTAGCTCTATAACGGTCCTAATGAAAAAAAAAATCTACAAGAATCTTTATAAACAGGAATTTAGAAAATTTAGAGGACTGGGTAAAAAAAAATCTGTCCCTTTATATGTATGTAGCTAGCAGAGGTGTACCCCAAAAGTCTGTAAATTAAGAAAAGCATGTTTTACTTTCATTTTAGTTCCATTTTGCAAATGCCCGACTTTGTGCTGGTCTATCGTGTAAAAATACACCGAAATTTGTCCTTGTAACATGTCAAAAAGAGGAACATTTTAATTTACTTGTTCACGTCACTTTTCCAAGATACTGTTTGGAAATCTAAAATCTTTTCCTCATCAGTGAAAAACCTGCATATCTGTGCAGTGACAGAACAGAGCAGTAAAGTCACATCACAAAAAGATCAAACTCTGCATAAGGAAAGGAAGTGAAGATGGGTCATGGACACAGAAATGATCTGGAGACAGAGCAAAGCCTGAGGAAGTTTTAGTAAATCAGAATTAAATGCATTTTCATGTCACACAACAAAAGTAAACTGACTGCAACCATCTTTCTTTGTTGCCGTATTTCAATACTAACCAATGGATGGGACCATTAGAGGTCGCCTCTTAGGTTGTGATCCACCATGCTGAATTCGCCTGCCATTGTCCCGGTCATGGCGGCCTCCACCAGGACTGTTTGTCTGAAATATACAGGCACAAAGCAGAATTTACAGATATCAGAGATTCACGACCAGCTCACATGAATGTGAGCCAATTTGAGATATATATATATATATATATATATATATATATATATATATATATATATATATATATATATATATGCTTAAATGACAGATTTGAACACATTATATTCCAACAAAGCCATGCACTACTCACAGACAGGCACTGGAACAAAGACACATAGACTTACATTCAAACACACACAAGCAGGTGAGGAATATCACAAGTCAAAAAAAATGACCGGAAGCCGATACCGGTATAACACTAGCCCTGAACTTTGATTTGGCACACATATAAAACATTATGCAAAGACATTAGTGAGGATGGCATGTGGTTCATGAGTTTGGGCCTCTCAAAGTTTCCATGGTGATTTGAGAAAGCTGTTTTTCTGCCTGGACAGACAAACTTTGACTATGCTGCTCCAGTTACATTTCCTGTGAGCTCAATGCCGATGAGGGAAATAATTCATGCAGCTAAACAGTTGTCTAAAATAAGATTCTACAACTGTGTGTAATTTCATTGGTTGGCAAAGGTTGCAAGAGCAAGATAAAACACCTGGACTGAGGATAGAGGGGATTATTAAAGTTAGTTGTTGAAGCAGTTGAGTGAACGGACTGTCAGAGTGCAAACCGGTTTCTGTGTGGCAGGGGAAAATCAAAAAACTCAGACTATTACTTTCTCTCTAGTTTTGTTAACTGAACTCAGAATCCTTCAACTCCTTTAGTTTTCCTAAATGACAAACTGCACTACCAATATTCTCTCCTTCTCATGTTGCACAGCCGCTTGATTCAAAATTCCAGCAATGATTACAAATTCAGTTCACAGTACTAAGCTTCATATACCGCTGTGGCACACTCCGAAAACATTTATTCATTTTAAAGGTTTATAATTTACTGATATTTCAAAAATGATTAATTACAAATGTACAATAAGTTATTTTATAGTAATTGTTGCTTTTTTCATATTATGAAACTTTCCAAGTTAGGCAGCAAGTAATTGCTGCAAAAGGAACTGCAAATTAACTTACCCATTTCTACAGTCGAATCAGTTAAATGGCCGAAAACAGATATCAGGGGAAAGATTACCTTTACCTTGAATGACTTTAAGATGGAAGGTGCTGCAGTTAAGGTGCTTTTTTAGACATGCTTTACTCTTTGATCTCTGCTATTCACTTGTTCGTTTTCTTTGCAATCCTTACTAATCCGAATGCAAAGGGAAAAATTAAAAGTTCCTGCAAAAGGTTTTCACACAGAGCCACCCAGATCAATTTGAAAACAAACCATCTGGTGCATACATGTTCAGCGGGCTCAAAGTTTGTCTTCATATACACATCTTAAGCACACGCACCAACAACACACAGTAAAAGGCAAGCCGAGGCAGCAGTCGTTTAAGGTATCTGTGCCTGTGCAGTTCACTACATTATAATGAACAACGATGCTTGACTCTAGGATTTCAGTGAGTGCAAAGACCTGCACCTTGGGTGTGTTGTGCGAGTTGCGTCGTCGTCCCTCTTCCAGCTGCATCTCAGAGAACAGCTCCTCCTCATCCTCCTCCATGATGTCAGACAGGTCAGAGCCCCGGCTGCTCTCGCTGTGATAATCTTCATTGTGACTATAGTGAGGCTTGTGGTTGTCACAAAGACACAAACACACAGACGCAGTTGTTTAAGTCCACAGACGTACCTAAGCACGCACAGAGACATGGGCGGAGGAGTGCAGACATGCAGCCAATCGGATGTACATGCACACACGACACACACACATCCTGACACATTTAGGACGTTTCCCACGAAAAAAAAAAAAAAAAAAAAAAAAAAAACATTTGTGTTCGTAGAAGGGGTGGGTTCTACTTTCTATGGGTTCTTACCGGCCTCCCCAACTCAGAGCCTCTGAGAAACTCATCAACTGAGGGTCCTCTCCGACGTCCTCGCGCAAATCCCTCCTCATCTTCCTCTTCCTCATCAGAGGGATGCTGGTGAAATGAATGACCCTGCTCTCCAAATCTCCCCACCCTTCTGTCTCCCTAAAAACAATGAGGAAAAAAGGAAAGTGATTCTATTTTAACTTGTTTTCTTGACATTTTACTATAAACCACAATTAAACTAAAACCTCCAAAAGATAAACAACAAAGTGTAGTTTCACTAAGCAAAACTTACTACAATATTTTGTGTAACATTTGTGTGGTGCTCTTCCCAGACCTTGCCACTTTCTGCTGCCACCCTCTGTGCTGCTTCTCGAGCGATAGCTTTGGCCACGGTGTCTGGGATCAGCATGCCTTGGGGCTGAGGAAGAATCCTCTGAGGGGAGGGGGAACGCAAATGCACAGGGGGAGGGGCCTCCAGCGTGTGGCCTTGCATGGGCACAGGAGGCTGCAAAGGTGATCGACTTGGGTCCCAGCCGGGCTGGCCAGGCGGAATAGCTCCTCCATGGTGGGCTGTGTGCTCTTTGGCATCCAGGTCTCTGGCACTTACTGGTCTCTGAGGTATAGGGTAGGGCTGAGGGTGGGGCAGCAGAGGCAGTTGGTGCTGGGGCCTGGGACCCTGGTGGAGAGGGCGAGGCTGCAGGTGTAAGGGCTGTGGTTGTGGGTGTGGAGTTCCGCCCGGGTGAGGAAGTCTGGGATGGGTTTGTGGATGCGGAGGATGAGGTTGCCCATGAGGCGGAGGCGGAAGTTGGGGTGTGGGGTGAGGAAGGTGAGGAGATGGGAGGTGAGGCTGAGGATGAGGGTGAGGAAGAGGGCCCGCGTGAGGGTGCATTGGGGGCGGCAGGGGTAGGGCGGGTAGAGGCACAAGCAGGTTGTTTGGAATGACGGCGACTTGGGAGTCCTGGGATTCTCCCTGGACTGACAGTGTCTTAACAATGACTTCTCTGGCCTCCAGGCATTGAATCCTTGTCAGATCAATAGTGACATAATCTGCCATTGGAAACAGCACCTCAGCTATCTGGAGTGAAGAACAAAAACATATATTCTTTTGTCACTTTACAGCAGAAAACATTCATGATTTTACCAACAGCTTTTAAAAAGGCCTCCAAAACACTTCAGTCCCATTGATATTTTCTTTTTTTTTCTTTTTTTTTTTTTACTGTAGCCAGTCATGCCATTATTAACAGCTCAAAATCAGATTACACCTCAACAAGTGTTGATAAACCAAAAACTTAATGAAAGGTCAAAAACTATATTTCCCAGGATTTTAAATACCAAATTTAATTTTCAGACTTATAGTGAGCAGCTCAGAATCCGTGCTGCGCCGATTTAACCTTTTAGATGTGATGTTTTGATTTACATTGGCTGTCACCAGAGGGGCTAAGAGACCTTTCTAAGACATTTACATGTCCCAGTAAGCAACTCGTGCTCTGAACAGCAATCACAAGCAGGTTGCATTGCTTTGTGCGCCAAAGATATTTAAGAAAAAAAAAAAAATCACACAGTCAACGAGCATTTTATCTGTAATTTAAGGAAGATGTTATTATCCTTCAAATATATTAAAATATTTTAAATCCTCCATCTGTTGGAGGCACATACGAGGTTGTATCAAAATTTTGATACATGCCTTGAAATTTAGATCAACTCCTCACCATCATTCATAATTCTGTCAGCTAATTTAGAGACATAGCCTACGTCATCATTACTTAAACGTGCACACTCACCCTTTGTCCTTTAGTGCAGACTGCATAGCCAACGACATTTGCCCCATTAGATGTGCCTGTTGGAGAGAGGATGGGAGGCTTCCAGCGGACTTGCAGAACCCCTGGAGCCTGCCCACAGAGCACCTGGACATCCTGCGGGGGCATCGGGGGACCTGACAGGTGAGGAAGCAAGGGCATGAAGATATCCTCCACCAATTACTTACTAGCCTGCTATAGAGAGTATGCAAACGGGGGGGGGTGTGAAGCATTCCTCCAATGCATAAATAAGCGTAGATAACAACCATGCAGAGGAATGTATGACTATAAATGAGGAAGTGACAGAAGTGCAGGAATTATTGTAAAAGGGATTTTAATTTTTTAATTCATTACCTCAATCACAAAGGCCAATAAAGCTATGCAATAGTTGCAATAGTTGCAGAACAACCCATCAATACTTTGTGAAGACACATGCAAATACTCAGGGTGACTTATAGGAAGAGATAATAACGGCACTGTGTTGTTGAGGTCATTTAGTTTTCCAGCAGAATTTGGGTGGCAGTAGGTTTGCTACGATCTGACAGGGGCTGTTATGAAGATTGGTGATTTTGCTTTAGCATCGATTTGGACTGGAGTCAAATATGTGTAATAATAACTCTGTTTAAAACTTTCCAAGCTTTAATGTGACAATTTTTGTCTTATAATAATTAAATAAAAGCAGAAAAGGTATGTCTAATGTACCAAAGCTGTTTAATTGAAAAAAAAGATATTTGACTATTTTTCAAGTCTAATGACATTTTAGTAGTTAAATGTACTATTACTATAATATTATTATAAGATACTAATGTAATATACTATCATATACTAACATTATTTCTTAAGAAGCAAGATATTTTTTTACACTTTTGTACACTAAAACTTATTTACCATTAACTAAATAAATTAAACAAAATAAATTAAATTAAAACAAAGCTGCTACATAAATAAATGAATCAATCTGGGCTTCCATTCAGTCTTCCCCACATGTAGCACACAATAGCAAGAAACTAAGTCAAGGTCTGTTTTTGTTTTTCCCTTTAGCAAAACTGTGAATCAGACATGTAGATCCTTAAAAAAAAATCAATCATTAAAGCAAAAAGGCAGCAGTCAAAGGACTCTGGTTTAAATTGTGCTGTTTCGTTCTTTTCAATGAAATTTATAAGGATGAAAACATGAACCACATTAACGGTATCATGTGCTGTTCAACTTCTCTCTAATGGCTAATGTACTCTGTGTGAACAATGGGCAAAATTACAAATGAATTTGATTGCAAATAACAAATTGTGTTAAAATTTTGGGAAAAAATAAAAAAAAAAATCATTCAAGTCAATTTATTGGAACATACTTCCAGAACAAGAAACAAATGCAACATTACCCGCATGCTTTGAGTGAACATGTAACAATTATCCTTTCACCAAAATTATTAAAAGATTATTAAAAGTATAAATGAGATATTTTGTTGAGTGGCTCAGGGAGAAACATGTGAAAACCAGCCAAGCACTGATGCTCAATCTCTGACCTGTTCTGCAATATGGTGTTGGGCCTAGATGGAATACAATACACAGAAAATAGCACATCAAAATGAGGGACCGTGTTCCTCCACAGCACAGGACACAGATTTAAAGATGAACTGATGTTGCACTGAGAGTTTACATTCATAAATTAAAAAAAATTAGCAGACTTTAAAACCTAATTTTGATACAATGCTTGTAAAAACAATGTAAAAGAAACCTCTGGTCACTATTACTTATTTATACAGTCTCGTATAAATACTCGTATCCTTCAAAATCTAATTTATTTTATCGCATTGGAATGTGATAGACCAACATAAAGTGACACATAAGTGTTAAGTGGAGGGGAAAAAAATCTAAAAAATAAATTGTAGTGCATGTGCTTTTAGTCCTCCTTGCTCAGATTCCACGAACTAAATTACTTTAGAAGTCTCTACAAGTCAAACTGTATGTCATTTATCTCAGTATAAGTGCAGATGTTCTGTGGATAAGAGGTTAGGTAACAAGAGAAATAAGAGGTGTGTCAGACATTAGTGAACAAACAAACAGAATCCTGAATACTGATGAAATACACCAAACGAATCAGATACCAGATTTGCCACCAATCTTGAGAAGCAAATGTGAACACCGGGGTTCTGATGACACAATATTTAGCTTGTTTGCCCACATGGAGAAGGCTATTTGTGGCGGATAACCAACACTACACATCACCCTGAGCGCACCATCTCCATGGCGATGGAAACATGATGCTGTAGGAATGCTTTCCTGCAGACTGAGGATGGAGCTAAATACAGGGAAATCCTAGGAGAAAACCTGTTACAGGCTTCAAAACACTTTAGACTGTGGTGGAGAGCAACCTTTTGTCTCTAGATTTGTAAAGCTGGTAGAGACACATCTGAAAAGACTCACTGGTTTAAATTGCAGTAAAAGATAGCTCTACCATGTACTGATTCATTGGATTAAAAAAAAACATAAAACCATGAGTAATTTTACTTCTTCTTAATTATGAACCACTTTATGTTGCTCTATAACTTAAATTCCTAAGAAAGTACTTTTAGATTTTTGTTGTTGTTGTAATGTGACAGAATGTGGTCTAGTTTCAAGTGGCTATAATGTTTTTGTGCAAAGCACTGGGGATACGGTTTGCTCGTTGCATTTAAAACAAACACAAAAACATCACTGACCTGCTGCCTGAGTGCAAAACTCCACTCCGGCTTCTTTCCTCTCCCTCTGCTCCAGAGGCAGTTGCCATGGCACCTGATGGGGAAGTGCCACCACTTGGACCTTATACACCGTTAGGGGATTCAGGTTGTGGAACCGTAGTCTGTACCTTCCAGGCTTTACCACAGCATGCTCCGCCCCATCTAAGTACACAGTGTGACTGTAGTTACTGTTGCTAGGCAGCCAGGAGAGCTCGGCAGTGTCCCGCTGGATGTCATCCACCCGCATGCCGCACGGCGCCACCACCACATTGGCTCCCACCAGCACGGTGCAACGGAGCTCGTCCGACAGGCCGCGGTCGGTGACGCTCTGCACGGAGACACGATAAATGCAGCTGTCCAAGTCCAGCTTTTCCAGCAAGCACTTGGTCCGGCCGGTGTACGGTATACTGGCACGAAGCTCCCCATCGACTAACACGTTGTAGCCAGAGATGTTCCCCCAGCCCAAAGGCACTACTGGAGGCTCCCATGCCACAATAACACTACGTGCCAGCTGCTTGATGAGGGTTATCTTACGGGGGTAAGGCACAACATCCTCAGCTAAGTCCTCAGGATCTAACGTCCCCCCTGTCCCATTGCTGCATGGAACGAGGGAATTGCTTGAGCCTAGCATGAGATCCTGGGAGGCACCTCCATCCACGGTCATCAGGGCCAGGGAAGTGTGTTCCAGAGGGCCTAAGTCTTCCCCTCCCTCTCCGATTAGTTTTTCTTTATCCTGGACAAATTCCACAAAGTTGGAAGGAACAAGTCCTCTTTGACCGTCCAGCAACTCCCCTGTCACGCAGAAAGGAGAAAAATGGTTAAAAGAATTGCTTTTTAAGATCAAAATTACTCTTACATCTAATGCAAATTTAGAGGTAACTTGTTTATATTCAAGCAAGTATTTTTGTTTCTGGTAGTAGATAAGTGGAATCTCTTACAAGATAATAAAGCAATCTAACAGGAAAAACAACTAAGAAAAAAAGCAATTATGTTTTACTCAAAAAATGGCATGTCATAAATTAGAATACCACTGGTATTTTGATGATACATCTTTAGCGATGAGCTCTAAGTACTCTTTATTATGTATAGAAACTAAAATTGAATTGGATTGAACTTTTAAAACATTTTCAGGAGCATCCCATTATTCCATGCATGACCTGCCCACTTAAGGAAAATATGAATAGGTTTCTATTTTTTCACTTGTAGATGATATGCTTCAGTTCAGTCAAGCTCATCATGTTCCTTCAATCCCTGCCTGGGAAACCTTAAGACCATTTGCATCTGTATGCTCATGTGTACGTGAGTCTGTGCGTTTTCCTTGTGTGCGTTGATGATTAAGCCACGCCCCGTTGGATTCGTCATCATACTAAAAGGGGCCAAGGTCCCATCTTGTCAACAGCTTGGTCTGAGGCCCAAGTCTCCCTTCTGTGTTGTAAATACAGAGCTCCTCCACAATGTCGTGCGATCCGACCGCCCACGGCTAATGAATCACTGCAGATGAGTCCCACCGTGACTACGACAAGTCTGCGTCGGCTGCACTATTGGTAGCTGGGGGGATTAGGACTGTCTCTGACGGAGAAACCTCCATGATTCTACAGAGATTAGAAAGAGAGTCACTCCAGTCGGCAGCTGTGAGAAAGTATGCAAGAAAGTTGTCCATGGTGACATCCGGCGCTGACAAAGCAGAGGTCAAAGAATGAACACGGCCAGAAGGCAGATGATGGACATTTTTAGTATGAGGGTGACAAGTCATGCAAACTGCCGTGTAGGAGCAGGAGACGCCTTTGCACCAGTGCTTACAGAAATGACTTCATCAGCATTACAGTTATTTTATATTAAGGTCGGACAGTGTTGTATTGTTCTCCTTGTGCCTTGTACAACAAAGTTAATTAATTATAACAAAGGAAATTAATTGCATTGTAAATGTGATATACGTACTTGCACGAAGAGTTCTCTTTTTCTACTTTGCTACAAAGAAGGCAGGTGTTTTTCAAAAGGTCTTTCAGTGTTTTTCTTTAGATTTTGGCAGCAATTTCACTTATATGAGTCTGTCTCAGTTCAGCATGAAAAGAAAGAGGACACGTTTCATCTGGAGGAGTACTCTGATGACAGTTGTCGGGTGTTTCAGAGATGGACAAGAAGTCAAATAGAGAGAACTAGTGGAAGATTTTTCTGGCATGGTGTGAAAATAAACCTCTTATATCTTGAATGTGACCAAAACAAAAGAGGTGATTCTAGATTTTCAAGAGAAACAGAAGGAATAATGAGGTCATCTACAAGAAGGAACAGAGCAGTCTGTACTCCTTGAGGAAGCTTAGATAAGTTAGTGTTTGTGGCAAGATGCTGAGTTTGTTGTGGACAGTGTAATCTCCTTTACCATCATTTGTTGGGGTAGCAGCACCAGAGACAGAAACTGAAAAAGAGTAAGCAAGCTGACAAAGAAGGCTAAAGAAGTGGAGCAACTGAAAGCGGTGGTGCAAAGAAGGATTTTTCATAAAACGAGCTGGCAACCCTGAACATCCTTCATTAGACTGTCATCCAGCAGAGTGTCAGTCAGAGACTTCTTCAGAAACACTGTGATACAAACTGCTGCAGGAGATCCTTCCTGTCTACAGCCATCAGCATCTACAACAACTCTTTGAAGAAGCTTGGATAACGTTAGTTAAAACAGGATGTTGTTTCTCTTTTGGATTAATAAGGTATTTCTGAATTGAACTGAAAAGAAGTTTGGACAGTTTGCACCAAATCACATTTACATGACACCTCAGGGGTATTTATTTGCATTATTTTAGAAGTCAGAACAATTTATCTATCTATCTATATATATATATATATATATATATATATATATATATATATATATATATATATATATATATATATATATATATATATATATATGTATGTATAGCCTAGAATATATTTCAACCAATTACTAAATAATTGTATATGAAGTTCTGAATTTAATAACATGCACTTATTGTTTTGTCAATTATTTTATGCAATGTGTATATAATATTTTCGCTCACAGCCAACATCGAAAACAGCTTAAAAATCCCTCTCACCTTCATAAAAGCCATCATCGTCCATGTCTCCATACACGTATAGATATTTTCCAGCCACAAGAGGGAGCTCTGCTTCTGGATGTTCATTCGGTCCATCATAAGGGTTATAACTTAGCAGAGAAAAGACACAAGAATATGTTGAGTTTAGTGAGTGAGGTGCCAAGTCTGCACACCTGAAAACCCCAAAAATATTTTGATGCTCGTCTCTTTCACCTGTAACGGGCAGTGCAAAGGCGGACCTGGCCTGTGTAGCGAGGTTTGGACCTTGGTGATGAGCTTGTCTCATCCTCCATCTATTGATCAATCACAGTCACAAGTCACCATTTCCACCCGAAAAGATGCTGGGATGCAAGTGGATTTATTTTTAAGCCACTTAAAAGGATCGTCGAGAGGTTTGCGTGACGATGTGGCGTCACTCACTCTCACCTCTGATGGGGGATGCTGTCGGGGGCTGCTGGAGCGATCCGTTGCTACGGTGCTGGATTTGACAGACAGCAGTTTGAATGCTTCACTGTCTTCAGTCTGCAGAGGGCAGGGTGGAAACTGAGGGATCAGAAGCTGAGCATTTGGTGCACTCTCATCACCTAGGAGACATTGATTTAAATAGTAAATAAAGAGAGACTGTCATTCCTCATGCACCCCATTAGCTGTTCATTGCGCAACTATCGATTCAGTCGTTAAGCAATGGCACAGTTAACACCTTTCACGCCAAAAGGTTTTTGTGCCTCGGTCAGTAGTTACCTTCTGCAGAACATATGTGTCCTTAAAAATCTCTCAGGGAAATGATGCTTATTTAGTCAGATGCAAAGAAGTCAAAAAGTTTTATTCTTTGAGAAAACTATAAGACACAACTTCCTCAGCATCGGTGATTGAATGCATGAAAGTGCATGAGAAATGGGTGTAGTTGCAGTTGTGGTTGTCTTAGTATCTCAGTGTATAACAAGAAACGTTTTGTAAAAAGTAAATTAAGGAAAACATATAAAGTGTCATATCTACACACCAATCCATCAAACATCAACAGTATCTGAAAGTTATCTGTTTCACAGAGCCGACACGGTACATGAGACACGGATTAAGGTAAAAGCTCTTGAGGAATCACCTGGTTGGCAGTGATATGGTTATTTTTGGTATTAGATTATATAACATGACCAACTCCTAAGTAGAATATTAGATTATCTTACATAGATTCAGCTTTAGAAACGGAATAAAAAAGTCTTCTTTGATGGGTACAAAAATAATTTGTGTATTACATGTTTATGCATAAGTATGTCATTGCAATCTGTTTGTCAAGACCTGGAAAAAAAATCCCAGATTATTATTTTCTGGTTTGACAAAGAATACTTATTTGGAAAATGTCAATGCATTGGTGTGAAGGAGGGTATGCATAAAGTAAAACTTAAAAAAATACTGCTTTAAAAACATCTAATTCTTTGCAATAAAGAAAAAAGATTAAATACCTACAGTGTGTA